AATGGGGAGGATGGGGAGCAGAGGGAGGGACAGAGGACGACAGAACACACGAAAAAGACAAGGGAGAGAGGAAGAAGGAGAAAAGCGGGAGGACAATGTCGGCGGACTGAGCCGGAGGCTGTAAAGCTTGTATATATGTCTTTCTATATGTGTATTTATGCAAGAATAGAATGTGTGTGAATGTGTGTGTGTGAATGTGTGTGTGTGTGTCTGAATGTGTGTGAATGTGTGCGTGTGTCTGAAGTGTGTGTGTGTGTGTGTGTCTGAATGTGTGTGAATGTGTGTGAATGTGTGTGAATGTGTGTGTGAATGTGTGTGAATGTGTGTGAATGTGTGTGTGTGTGAATGTGTGTGAATGTGTGTGAATGTGTGTGAATGTGTTTGAATGTGTGTGAATGTGTGTGAATGTGTGTGTGTGTGAATGTGTGTGAATGTGTGTGAATGTGTGTGAATGTGTATGAATGTGTGTGAATGTGTGTGTGTGTGTGTGTCTGAATGTGTGTGAATGTGTGTGTGTGTGTCTGAATGTGTGAGTGTGTGTTTGAATGTGTGTGAATGTGTGTGAATGTGTGTGAATGTGTGTGAATGTGTGTGTGAATGTGTGTGAATGTGTGTGAATGTGTGTGTGTGTGAATGTGTATGAATGTGTGTGAATGTGAGTGAATGTGTGTGAATGTGTGTGAATGTGTGTGAATGTGTGTGCGTGAATGTGTGTGAATGTGTTTGAATGTGTGTGAATGTGTGTGAATGTGTGTGAATGTGTGTGAATGTGTGTGAATGTGTGTGAATGTGTGTGCGTGAATGTGTGTGAATGTGTTTGAATGTGTGTGAATGTGTGTGTGAATGTGTGTGTGTGAATGTGTGTGAATGTGTGTAAATGTGTGTGTGTGTGTGTGTCTGAATGTGTGTGAATGTGTGTGTGTGTCTGAAGTGTGTGTGAATGTGTGTGAATGTGTGTGAATGTGTGTGTGTGTGAATGTGTGTGAATGTGTGTGAATGTGTGTGTGAATGTGTGTGAATGTGTGTGAATGTGTGTGAATGTGTGTGTGAATGTGTGTGAATGTGTTTGAATGTGTGTGTGAATGTGTGTGAATGTGTGTGAATGTGTGTGAATGTGAGTGAATGTGTGTCTGAATGTGAATGTGTGTGAATGTGTGTGTGAATGTGTGTGTGTGTGTGAATGTGTGTTTCTTGCCTAACAACAAAAAACAACAGATCCATAGGAGGACGTGCGTGGATGTATAAATAGATGTGTATATATATATATATATATATCTGTATGTCTGTCTCTGCAAACGTGTGTATATACATATACAGGAAAATATCCTGCCTGCCATCAGCGGTGTAGTGCAAACCCGTGGCGCGGTGAGCAACCTCACTTCATCAGCCGGCCCCTAGAAGCATAGCAAACCAGCGCCTTATGACGAGAGGCCAGCAAAGCAGTTGAAGGGGGAAGCCCGGGCTTTTGTGAACTGGGATGGGGCTGGGGTCCTTGCAACTTCTAGATCTTGAATCCGTGGCAGCGCCAGGGACAATGGGGGCTCCCACTAAAGCGAAGCCCATGCGGTGTCTCATGAAAGTCAAGCGATTCGTAAACAGTGGCGGGGGTACTAAAGGGTGCAACATGTTCAGCATTACTCCTGAAAACGGGGCGAACATGAAATCCATCCCAGAGGTATTCTTGATCATCTCCCTTTACGGTCCGCGCAGGCGCTCCAAATCCCAAGAGAAACAAACGTTTTAACTTGTTAGACCCCATATCAGCACGTAGTTTATCTCAAAACTTTGGCATTGCAGGACCACAAGGAGGTCACTAAGGGGCGCATAAAGGATGTTGTTCAAACAAGGTGTTGGAAGGGGTTCAAAAGGCAAACCCTGTGGCAGAAGCACCAGAGCCGGCCGAGCGAGAGTTCTATATGTGCTCAAAGCTCTGTGCCTTTGGATCAAACGAAGCTGGGCAAATGAAACCGCATGTATGCAAAGCGGATTCGCGACCTCGCCCATGATATAAGGCCTTCCCTCATATTTGTTGGCTCACCACTGTTGCCCTGTTTCCAACAATCATTGAAGTGGGGGTCAAATGATCACCCCCAGTCACCCCCGGATCAAATGATCATCCCTGGTCATGCCAAAGAACCCCCTGCCGTGACAATTGGCAAGGCAAGGGAGAATATGCTTGTGGGGGTCATGTTTGCAGTAGCATCCGCGATTGAACCTTTGCCTGGTGGCCTAAAACCCTTGCTGTTAAGGGTTGATGACCGCACCTTTCGTATTTGCCCCAGGCAAGTGGGTGGCAAATAGCCACCCCCAGTGGCATGCACAAGTTCACGTGGGTGCATTGGGCCCAACCCCAAGTGGAGCGGTTCCACCAAGCTGCCAGGCGCTTGACGTAAACAACTCTGCTAATCCCAGGCCGCGCATGAGGTTGGGTGGGGGTTTGCGGCCCCAATAAACTTGCACTTGCAGGGCATGCTGACAGACCTCAATTGTTTTAAGATTATCATCCAGGGTTCTGTTTCAAGGGGCTGTGAACAGCTGTCCGTTTAAGCATGTGAGAAAGCAACGGGTGTTTTCCTTGAAATTCTGAAAGGTGCCCGCAAACAAAGGTTCCACCGTGTTCCATGGTGATGGCTCCTTAGGAAGCCTCGTGATGGCTGTCGGACAATTTACTTTGAACGGCGCTTCCCCAAATGCGCGGCTGCAATGATCACCTTCAGCTGCGGAAGCCGCCGGTGGCACATCCCGAGTCCCCTGTTGGAAAAAATGATGAAACCAAAACACCAGAACCAATCCATTTTAAACATTCCAAGATGGCCCCACCGCCCCCCAAACCACTTACCCCCAATAAGGTCATGGGATCTAAGTCAATATGTAGCCGCAATAGTTCCACCTGAAATAAGAATTGCATCCCCAAGTAAAGGACCCACAACACCTTGTACCCCCCCCATAGCTCGCCTGCGGAAACAGGCAGATCTGTGGTCACAAATGTCTTTCCCTCCGAGCAGCCCATCTGCGGTATTTGGACTCAGCGGAGAGGACGTGCAATTCCGTCTTGCCGCTGCCCGTGCGTGGGCCGAGCAGAAGACACACCAGGTCACCCTTCAAGTTCACCAGGAACCTTCGGCTCATCTGAAAAAGTTACCCCTTCATACCTCTTGGTTCCCTGGCTACTCACTTATATTGAGTAGATAGTTTGCTGGGCCACTGGGGCGTATGAACAACAGCAAGCCTTTTGGGGTCACCTGCACAAGGGGTATGCGAAAGAGGTACAAACACCCCTAGATATAGTAAGCTGAGCCATTTCACTCACCCAGGTGAACTATCTGGGCTGTTCACAAGGCGTGGCCAATCCTGATCCGCAAGCACATACCTACCCTAAGGATCAAGCGTTGGCTCCAGTACGAGCGTTTCCTGGATCCCTTCAAAATCCACCATTTCCTGGCTGCGAGCAGGATAGGACCCATTGACCTTTTTCGGGGGGTCCATGAGATACTATGAGCGCTAGTGATGCTTTGGAAAACGTCAGGGACTGTTCAGACTCTGACTGTTGACCTTATCCTTTCAGGCATATGGAAGCATCCGTTGACTTGAGTTTGACTAAAAAGCAAATCGCGATGAAGTGGATTGCAATTCTGCATGGAACCACTTTCAAACGACAACCAACATAAAACCACTCAAACGCCGAAATCTATAGACTGTCCAAGAATATGCATGTATATATAATACGAATATTGTGTATGTATGTACGTACGGATGTATGTGCGTATGTACGTGTGTAACATATGTGTGTATGTGTGTATGTGTGGATGCGTGTATGGGTGTATGGGTCCATGTCTGTGTGTGTGTGTAAATGTGTGTGTGCGTTGGTATGTGTACGTGTCTGTGTGCCTGTGTGCCTGTGTGCAGGTGTGCAGGTGTGCAGGTGTGCAGGTGTGCAGGTGTGCACCTGTGCACTCGTGCAAGTGCGCACGTGTGCACGTATGCACGCATGCACATATGTATGTGTGCAGTGTGTCTGTCTGTCTGTCCGTCTGTCTGTCTGTCTGTCTGTCTGTCTGTATGTATGTGTGTCTGTGTGTCTGTATGTCTGTATGTCTGTTTGTCTGTATGTCTGAATGTCTGAATGTCTGTATGTCTGTATGTCTGTATGTCTGTATGTCTGTATGTCTGAATGTCTGTATGTCTGTATGTCTGTATGTCTGTATGTCTGTAAATCTGTACGTCTGTACGTCTGAATGTCTGTATGTCTGTATGTCTGTATGTCTGTATGTCTGAATGTCTGTATGTGTGTATGTCTGTATGTCTGAATGTCTGTATGTCTGTGTGTCTGTATGTCTGTATGTCTGAATGTCTGAATGTCTGTGTGTCTGTATGTCTGTATGTCTGTATGTCTGTATGTCTGTATGTCTGTATGTCTGTATGTCTGTATTTCTGTATGTCTGTATGTCTGTCTGTCTGTATGTATGTCTGTATATCTGTATGTCTGTATGTCTGTATGTCTGTATGTCTGTATGTCTGTATGTCTGTGTGTCTGTATGTCTGTATGTCTGTATGTCTGTATGTCTGAATGTCTGTATGTCTGTATATCTGTATGTCTGTATGTCTGTATGTCTGTATGTCTGTATGTCTGTATGTCTGTATGTCTGTGTGTCTGTATGTCTGTATGTCTGTATGTCTGTATGTTTGTATGTCTGAATGTCTGTTTATCTGTACGTCTGTACGTCTGAATGTCTGTATGTCTGAATGTCTGTATGTCTGAATGTCTGTATGTCTGTATGTCTGTATGTCTGTATGTCTGAATGTCTGTATGTCTGTATATCTGTATGTCTGTATGTCTGTATGTATGTATGTCTGTATGTCTGTGTGTCTGTATGTCTGTATGTCTGTATGTATGTGTGTATGTACATTCCTATGGTGTATGACTCAACACGATCGCACAGCTCTCTCGCACTTCTTGCGCAACCCTTTATCACAGTCAACCTCGAACTCCGAGGATTTGCCTAGGTATGCTCCAATGAGCTGAGGTAGGGCACTGAGTGAGCCCCACTCAGGCCCCCTGTCAGCTTCCTCACTGCCATCCCGGCGTGCATGGCTGACAGGGTAAACACCCCGGGTCCACGCGTGTCGAAGTGCGCATCCGGGGTAGGCTCGCCCGCCTGAAGCGGCGGGAGCGCGGCCTTGTGGCCCTGAGCCCCAGCTTGTCTGCCCGTAGTGGCGATCTGTCGAAAACGTGCCGTGCGAGTGGCTAGCACATCAAGCTCCTGGTCCTCGCCACCCGATAAAAGTAGAGAAGGGGAAAGAATTGACGAGGTCCTCGGTCATCGAACAAGCGTCGAAAACGAACCACAAGTGACTCTTGGGAGTGCTTCTGCAAGTTCCGTGAAAGCGCCTGGACACCTGGATACCCCCCCAGGCCGCCAAGGCCGCCCGCGGCCCACAGAACCGGAACCGCGCCCCGGCTTAATGGAAGATAGGCTCCTCCTCATTGGTCTCCTCGGTTTACAGGCTTCGGCTTGCGCTGCACCGTGGTGAGTTGAAACTGAAGAGAACGGACCTTCCACACATTGAACACGCATAACATGCGCTTGGCCATTTCTTGTGAGACGGTAGAGTCCGGGGCGCGGGCCATGCTCTGCTGGCACATCATGCGGCCCACTGCCAAAGCCTCGAAGATGCTGCCGAAGAGGAACGCTCCCTGCAATCGAGCTCCTGCGTTAGGCGCACTCTGCTTGAATCTCAAACAGGGCGCGCACCACGCAGCAGCGCGATGGCGGCCCGCCATGCAGTGCAGCAGCACCTCATCCCCCCCACGCAGACTCTGAGCGATGGTCTGCCCGGGAGGTGATCGGCAGCTGCACCTGGATCACGCTTGAAGGCTGTCACCTGCAGGGCCACCGCCGGGAAGTCGCCCAAGTTGTGCTGCGTGGGGAGACCACTGAGCCAGAGCTTGCCCCCGGAGCGCAAAGACAACACTACACCTGCCGGCCCTGGCGCGCGAGGTTGTCGGGGTGCTGGTCCTCCCCCGCCGACTCCCCTCCATCCCGGCCAAGGTGCCTCCTCGACAGGAACAGTCGCGAGACTGAAGATGGCTCTTGCTGTCTGTCGGGCCCGCTTGTCCTTCCTCAGTGGCTTCCCTTGGGCAGAAGTGTTCCTTGAGGCATGGAAGGCTCTGCCGCGGCCAACCCAGCGTACCTCGGATCTCTGTATGGGCGCTGTCTGAGGTGAACCTGGTTTTGCGGACCGAGTTCAACTCGTACTTGGAGGACGCCCTTGGTTCCCTCCTCAAGTTCACCGGCACGGAACTTTGTGCTCTTGGTGACTGGCAGGATCGCAAGCTGGGCGAGGAGTCTCGCATGCCCATGCGCTCTGGGGGGCGCTTCAGGCGGTGCAGGACTTCACGGTATCCCAGCTAGCTGCCGTCCAAGAGAGCGGGTGAGGTCTTTTCGGGGCGGGCTCAAGCCCGGCATGAATCGAGCTCCGGCCCCGGCTGAGGGTCTCCCTTCAGGCGCGGCCAAGCGTAAGACGGAGCATCGTGATGTCCGCTTTGGAAGCAGCGCTCGGGATCATGAAAATAAACCCTTGGCGAAGCTTCTTCTGCTTCCCCTTGGGGCAGTGAGCGTGCAGGGCACTCTGCGTGATCTTGCGCGGCTCAGCCAACGTCACATGCTTGTAGCGGAGCACTCAGCCGCCCGGAAGCGCGGACCAGCGTTCCTCGCCGGCCTCGAACATCCGGACGATCCGCTGCTCCAAGTGGTTGACCATGCTGGGCTCCTTCACCGCTGCCTGGCCGCGCCTATGAGGGCGAGAGGCCCGCCGGGGCAGCTGAATCATCTTCAGGTCCATGTCGACCTTGGCCTGGTTGAAGATCCAGCGCAAACTCGCCAGCGCGAGACGGTGCAGGCGTGGCCTCCGTGATGTAAACCTCCAAGTCCAGCAGCTCCGGTGGGAAGGGTCCCCGCTGCTGAAGGAAGCCCTCGAGTTCCGCCCAGGTTCGCAGAGCATTTGGGACGGTCACCTTCTCGGCGCGCTGGATCAGCTGTTGCCCCATCCGCCAAGAACCGCACAGCCTGCTCCGCCACCACCTCTGGCTGCGGCTCCCTAGGAGTGCTCAATCACCCAAGACGCATCCGGCACCAAAGACTTCTCCTCGGCTGCCAGCTTGGCCTGCTCGTAGCTGCTGAAGTCCTTGTCGTCCAGCACCCACGCACGCGCCGCGCTCCTGGACACGCGCAGCAGACCTTGTCCAGCGTCCAGGAAGTGTCCTTTTGCATGGCCATCCGGGCATAGATCCCCTGCTCCTGCGCCATAGCGCTAGCTGCTGCCAAGCCCAAAATTGCTGCTGCAGTCCGGGCATACTGAGCGATCGTTGCGAGTGGCAAAAGTAGGCCCCCTCTACCTTGCTCAGACATGGGGAAACAGTGCAAGGGCATTCCGCCAAAGGGAGCAACCCGCCAATGACAAACTCCGCATCAGGGATGAGTGGTTCATGAATGAAGACCACCACGGACTCCCAGAGTGCCAGGGCCCCCGCCCGGTCCCCCCGGGCGAGCAGGCCTTCAACATGCGCCCTGAAATCCAGCAAGGCCCCCGTAGAAAGGAGGGCCTCATCACAGTGCACAGCCACGTCAACACCCTGACGTGCACGCTGCATGGGGCGCACGAAGAAAGGTACCTTGAGGAATGATCAGTGTCTACCCAAGCCTGCCAAACTCGAGACACAAACATGTATGTCTGTATGTCTGTATGTCTGTATGCCTGTATGTCTGTATGTCTGTATGTCTGTATGTCTGTATGTCTGAATGTCTGTATGTCTGTATGTCTGTATGCATGTATGTCTGTATGTTTGTATGTCTGTATGTCTGTATGTCTGCATGTCTGTATGTCTGTATGTCTGTATGTCTGTATGTCTGTATGTCTGTATGTCTGTATGTCTGTATGTCTGTATGTCTGTATGTCTGTATGTCTGTATGTATGTATGTATGTATGTATGTATGTATGTATGTATGTATGTATGTATGTATGTATGTATGTATGTATGTGCATATATATATATATACACGTATATGTACATGTATATACACGTCTACATGCACTGACTTTTGTATTTATCTTGGAGTGGCCGATTATGCCTCATAGCGGCAGTGTGCAACACGAGGGTGGCCATGGCTCCGTTGACTTTGGACTGTCCTAGTCTCCCAAGCCCGGCCTGTGGTTGGCCTTGCGCAACCAGCCCAAAGGCGTGATCGCTCTGGTGAGGTTTTGATACTTGGAGGCGAAGCTCAGCGTGGTGACCTCTATCTTCTTGCTCTTGGTCTGGCCTTAGTTGATGTTGTTGTTGATGAAAAGGGATATCCAAGTGGGATATCTACATCCCCCAAGCAACAACCAAAGAGTCTGAAAGTCGACAAGTCGCAAAAGTCTCAAACGTCTCAAACGTCTCAAACGTCTAAGGACCCTGGCTGGGAACCGCCGAGTTGCCAGTCTGAATCGCCACCAGATCCCCGTTACCCTTGAAACTGAACTGCCAACCCGGGCCGTGGGTGTAGTTCAGCGCTGTCACTAGGCGCGAGGTCCGGCTCCTGAAGCCCGGGATTTGAATAGCCATCTGCGGCTCCATCCCCATGGGAAGGGAGTCCTTTTTGGGTTTCTTTGACACCAAGCCGAAAGAAGTACCCTCAATCAATTACTATCATTGATATTAGTACTAATATTATTACTCTTTTCATAACTATTATCATAATAATTATTATTACTAGTATGATTATTATCATTATTATCATTATGTTTATTATTACTATTATTATGATTGTTATTATCATTATTATTATTCCTATTACTATTATTATATTTATCATTAGTATCATCATTAGTATTTATTATTGTTTATTATTATTATCATTATTACTATTATATTTATTATTATCATCATTATGATTTATTACTATTAATATTATTATTACTATTATGATTATGATTATGATTATGATTATGATTATTATTATTATTATGATTATTATTATTATTATTTTTATATTATTATTATTATTATTATTATTATTATTATTATTATTATTATTATTATTATTATTATTATTAATATTATTATTAATATTATTGTTATTACTATTACTATTATTATTACTATTACTATTATTATTATTATTACTATTATTATTATTATTATTATTATTAATATTATTATTATTATTAGTATTATTATTATTATTATTAATATTATTATTATTATTATCATCATCATTATGATTTATTACTATTAATATTATTATTATTACTATTATTATTATTATTATTATTATTATTATTATTATGATTATTATTATTATTAATTATTATTATTACTATTATTCTTATTAATATTACTATTATTATTATTACTAGTATTATTATTACTACTACTACTATTATTATCATTATTATTATAATTATAATTATAATTAGTATTATACAGTATAATAATAATTATAATAATAGTTATTGTTAATATGGTTGCAATAATTTAAAATCATATATACTTGTAATTGACTCATTGTTAACTATCGTATTACCTGAAAATGTTGATGCCATACTTCTATTATCAAATTTATTATTTGGTGACACATTTTCATTGTTTAAATGTATACCAAACTTATTTTTTGTTTTATTAACATATTTATTGAAATAACCACGGCGAAAAAGAATCAAGCAGCACTGAAGGAACCTGAAAAGGGGCCTGGTGTCCTGTGATCAGTTTCCTTGCCCATGGGAAGAAACAACGAGTCCTGTAGGAGGAGCTGCTGCTGAAGACGGAGATCTCCGTCTTTCCGCTCTTGGTCTTGGGGCCTTTCAAAATGGCAATCAGATCCAGCGACGTGGGCTTGACCAGGTACTCCCATTCCAGAGGTACCTCGGAAAGGGCGGATCTTTCTAGCTGCGAGATATTACCACTTCACCAGTCCAATGGCCGTAAGAAAGAGGGACCGCTTGTTGGGTAGTTGTTGAAGACAAACCCCCTCCAGAATAAGGAGAAAAGGAAGCGGGGGTTAGTGGAGGTCTTGGTTTCAGACCAAGGATTGATAAACTCCTGGTTGATTAAGAAGTGAGTCTTGTTTCAGAGGGAATCCTTCACTTTGGCAGTCCACCAGGTTCTGCAATCCGGAGTCGACAAAAGGTCGTGTCAACACAGGGGACCCCTCCATGTTTGGTTGGTGTTCGGTGTTCCTCGTGTCCCCAACCCACACCGAAGCTAAGGCCCGTGCGGTCGTCGTGCTGGTCTGCGTCGTTAAGGAGCTCGCCACTCCCCTCACCGACAGCCCCGTGGATTCGGCGCAATTGCCCGGGCCGATCTCGATCCACTTGAACCGAGTTGTAGTTGTGGTGGTTGGAACCTGAGGCACGGCAAAAATTACGCGTTTCCCAAGAAGACGCGGAACAGATTGTGAGTCCCCTAGTTTTTGTGGTTGCAGTTTAGGGCGTTCCCCCATGTCCCTCCCTAACCAACCATACACCACTGGACATTTTGACCAAACCTCGTCCGATGAAGGGCCAGCAAAGCTACCAACTAAAAATGATATTTTGGGATTCTGGTCCACATGTGTACCCCCCCGGCTGATATGGAAGCTCCAGGACCCCTTTGGAAGACTTAACTAATTCCATGTCGTGCTGTGGCCTTCCATGGAATTGCCTGAGAGGGTATACCAAACATGCCAAATCATGCCGTCTGAGAGGTCCCAAGGGGCCAAACCGGGCCATTGCCAGTCGGGGATGTTTCGCCAGTTCTTGCATGCTGCTAGTGGTAACGGAAAACGTGGAGGGTTGCGACACCCTCTTGTTGAGGCATGTCTAAACCAGTGTTATGCAAATAACTTCCTTTTGGTACCGCTTTAAAGGGGCCTAGGCTATAGTTGATACAACCCTGCGGATCGAAAAACTGCGCACCCAACGCTGGTGCCCTGCGTGCGACTACGCCACTCTCACGTAGGTGTTCGCATCAGACTCAGCCTCGAGATCCTGACAAACCGGAGCTCCGACATGCTTGCATGAGACTTCATGGTGTTAGTGTGTTTGGAGGAATGACCGTTCTAATCAGGGGTAGTTTTGCTTTGAGTGTGGACATGATTTATTTTTGGGTCTGATTATAGTGGGGTTCTCCAAATCAATCCAAAGTTTGCGGTTCATGGATCTGTACGATGCGCGTCCTCATAGTCCCAACGATGTCCGGCCGTGCAGTTCAACCCACCCAAGCATCCGCCAGTCTTGTCATTTTTGCCAACTGTTCGGATAACAAGATCCGCGTTTTTCACAGAATCCTACACTTTTGGGAGTCCAGGTATTTTGGGTCCAGTTAAGCAGTCTTAGGACTGCTGACACCTACTACATAGGAAGCCCGGAACCTTGAAATAGCACTCCAATAAGGCCTGAACATCGCCTGTTCCCAGGTTCCTGAGTTTTCCTCAAGGAGTCCCTGTGGTTTTGGGGTGTGTAGATTTGCTCCTGCGGGTTGGGATGTCCTCACAAGGGGGAGGCATGGCAGCCCAAGGAATCAAAGGACACCAAACCCCTACGGTAAAGTGCCCCCACTGATTCATGGGGAGGAAGCAGAAGGTCGCCACCTGCGGAGGGGTTCCAAAAGGGTTCCGCTTCTGAAGTGCCTCAAGTGACCGAACTGATTCTTCATGTCTCAAGTCTCAAGCAGTCCCTTTCTCGTCCTCGCAGCCAGAGAAGAGGCGGCACTTCTCAATGTGGTTGCCCCGGCGAATCGTCGACACCGCCGTACAGTCGCCTCGGCTGAATTTTCTTAGGGTCGATTCGAGTTCCAACCGAAACGAAATAATAAAATCAAGTTGTCCCCCCATGTCCTCCCAAAACCAACAGTTCTAGACTATCAGTAAGATTGTCAGTTGCGCATATGCGGAACCTCCAACCCCCCCCCCAACCACCGATTCAAATGTTATATGTATATATAGTAGCTTGATTGACCATCAACAATTGTAAAATGTCCCACAGCCCAGTTCTAAACATGTACGCCCAGCATGAGGACGTCTGGTGTCCTTCTCCCCCCATCGAATCGATCAATCAAAGCTCGCCGCGGCGCTGTCTTTCGCGCAGAGCCGGGTGCACTTCTCGCTGGTCTTGCCGCCCCGATCGTGGCCCAAACTGAACTCCGCGCCGCAGGTCTGGCCTCCGGACGAAGTGCACAACTTCTCAGGAGAGTGGGCTGTGCAATGTCAACCTTTTTGAACCTCTTGCGTTCAGGGGGATTCCAGGGTGACAAAAGTGATCCCCAGAGATACAGCCAAGACAGGTTGATTGGAGGTTGCAAAAAGGTCGAAAAAGGTCGCTGTAGAGGTCATAAGACGTGGCTTTAGAGGTTCAAGCGAGGCCGGACACATCTGAGAATGCGGCTACACAGAGCTGCAAAAGGCCGACAAAGTCTGAATGGTACACGAAAGCAGGACACCGAAAGCCTAGTTTTCCTGAGGTCTGCAATGTCTCCTGCTGGGCCTATCCAAGTTTGGGGTCCTATTTGAAGTGACATCCATAGTCCTAAATTGACAAAGTCGACCAACAATCACAGCTTGACTGCGCACTTGTTGGACTGCGTTTGAAGGAAGAACGGAAACGACCTTTATGTAACACGGAAAAGACAACATACTTGATTGGCCAGCACCTTATTGACCGTCAACCCCCGTTTTCCTGGCTGTTCTACCACGGCGGCCCCAAACCAAGGACTGGCTTAGACTCCATAGCGTTGCTGTCGATTCAAAGCTGCAAATCCTTTTTCCAGCGTCCGTTGGGCTATGAAGGGGCCAGCCCTTGGGGCTTCTTAGCGTTCCTGAATTCCTTAGGGGCCCTTAGGGAGTCTTGCCTAGGTCATCTCAGCATCTTTATCGCATGATGTTTGCAAGAAATAAAGGACCTACATGGCTTTCGTTCGTTTGACCCACGTGGAATCACTGGCCAGAGAATGGCTTACCGTCACACGCATTCTCCACGCCTGGCGAGATGGTCCAGTTCAGGCCGTGCATGATGATCCACGGCCGCTCCAGCTCCTGGGAAATCGGAGCGCGTTCACAAGTTTTCGGAAGACCCCCAATCCAGTTTTGTAGAACCAAAGAATTGGGTAGGATCGGCATTCAAGGAAACCTCACCTTACTTTGGGGTGCAAGTCCAGAACTGGGTGACAGGAGAACTCCTAAGATTTGAACCAGGGAGCATTTTGAGATTCTACAACAGCACTTGACAAAAGGGTGCTCTCCAAAAAGTCACAGGTTGATTCAACACTTTGCAAAACATTGCAACCCATACAAAAATGGGCTTTAAAAAAGGACACGCCAAAAACTGCCCAAGCTTCTGTATCAGCCTGTTCCCGCCAACAAGGCTTGACCCTTTTCCTTTGGACTTGCTTTGTGCGGGGGAGGATCGTGTTGATTCGATGTTTCATGCCATCCTGCAACTCGGCGCATTCCTGTGCTTCCACCATAGCCATCCATCAGAACATTCTGCAAAGCCGGCATGTTAAACAAGGGTGCCGTAGACAAGGGGGCGCGCCATCATCTTGACACTACCCTTTTGTGTCGAGCACGTGTTGAGCCACTTCACTTGTGATTCTGCCAGCATTGGCAAGGATACTAGCACGGAAGCAAAAGGCCCAGAAGGATGATGCATCCAAAATCAGGGGTGCGCAGGTTCCACGTTTATCGTTAGGAAAGTAGGCGCGCACTCGCGCTCCATCAAACCTGACACTGGAAGTGCACAGGCCCCTCCAGCGAAAGCAGTCTTCCAACAAGCCACGCTTGTTGGTGCCAGGATATTCGCACTTTCAAGGGCAGCTCACAAACCAGAAAAAGTTTGGTGTCCTGGTTTCCCTCCAAAACGGAGCCCCCAACAGGGTCCAGGAAGTCAAAGTGACATCCGCAAAATCAACATCGAAATTGTGGTTTAATGGAATTTCCCGCCCCCAATGGGAATTTTGAGAACCCTTGAAATGCTCAGGTTTTTCCAGCCCCCCAGGCCCCACCACCGCCTAGAGCCCCCAAAAAGGGCTTTCCGTTTCAACAAAAGGTTAGCTGCTTTCCCCGCAAAGGAGCGCCCTAGTCCGGCCTCAGGTTCCTCGGTAGTGGTGGTCGTGGTGGAGCTCGCGCAAATGTTCCCATTCTCCTGGTCCTCCGGAACGTGTCCAGACTCACGGACAAATTTCATGCCCGGAGATTGAACTGTCAGCTCACGTGGGCCACCCGTCTGGGTTTGCGTGTGGGAAACTGCTGTTCCCGCAATGATGGGAATTCACAAAATCCGTATCATGGAAGATGTCCGATCAAAATGTCCAGTCCATGGGGCCAATCACGGAAAGCCACACTAACACCTAACTTGAGAAGGGGAGACACGAAAGGTAGGATACCGTATTTTGATTCCCCTAAACAATGGAACGTCCCCGAGACAAAGTCTGGAGGTGTTGGTGCTAAAACTGAGGGGCCCCCAGCACCGTAAAATTGTGCATAGCCCACTATGAAGCAGACGTGCACTGAGTGTCCCATATCAACGGGTCGAGATTGATTTATTTATTATTTGCTTCCCGTCCTGCTAGCAAAATGCTGTGTTTTACAGCATTTTCTCACGAAATGTACGTATTTTACACTAGCCCGTCAACATCATCAGCATCGTTTTCAACATCCCCCACATGTCCAGCCAACATCCCAGCATCACCAGCAAATCGAGGGCTTCAGACATCCTCAGCATCATCAATTCCTCTCCGGCAAGGTAGGAAGGTATTTATGTATGTATGTTAAAAAGCAGCGGGGGGTTCCCTCTCATGATGGTAAAAAGTGAGGATTCAAATACGGTGCAATTTAATCCCCGGAAAACACCTAAAAAGTCGCGGGGGGGTTGGGGGGGGGGGGCAGCAAAAGTCATTTGATTAGGGGCAAACAAATTAAAAAATAGCGGGTGGGGTGGGGTTGGCGGCAGCCCCCCCATGATGATCGAAAAAGTGATGATTCAACTAGGGGCAAAAACTCTAAGAAGTAGCGGGGGGGTTGGGGGGGGCGGCAGCCCCCCCATGGAAAAACTGATGATTCAATTAGGGGCAAGAAATCTAAAAACCAGCGAGGGGGCAAAAGATCTAAAAAGTAGCGGGGGGGTTGGGGGGGGGCGGCAGCACCCCCACACCCCCTCAGTCTAGCCTTGCTCACGCAAGGACAAACTCAAGCTAGCCTCCTTGAGGCTACCTTTCGTGACTTTCCGTAAATGTCTCCTTTCAAATCCGCCCCCCCTTCACATTGGCAACCAAAAAAGGCGACGTCCAAAACAAGCCGTCCCAATGAGACCCATGTGATACGAAGCTCACCCTCGCTGTGGCAGTAAATTCTGTCAGTTGCTCATACTGCGAACCCAGAAGGCTCTCAACCTGGTGTATCAATACGGGGCCCTCCCCAAACAGTGCGCATTTCCCTGAAGTGGGACACCATCAAGTAAAATCAACCATCTCATGGTCCTCCACTGGCCAGGTGCCGGAGGGGCACTGATACACGCAGCTGGACACCGCCAAGAACCTTAACGCTGGCCGTGAAAAGGCAAGAAACGTGGGGTGGGGCGGGAAAAACATACCCAGCTTCCCTCATGGTGGTGTGGTTTGGTGGATGCGTTGCAACCACCAACCACCAATTAACGGTTTACCTGACATACTGCATGGTTGTGGAAAAGTATAGCTCGTGACACCGCAACCCCCTACGGTGCGTACTTTGTCACTTTCAGGGGGGTTCCCGCCCTAAAAACAAATTTCCACAAAACGAAATCTGTTTTGCTCCAGTTGGTTTTAGTTGTCTCTTGACCCAATATGTACTAGGTTTCGTTCATCCCAACTGATGCAGAAGGGGGGTCACCGAAAGTACTACCAAAGGACACCACAAAAGAACTAAGCAATCGAAGTAACCAAAGGAAGTAACCAAAGGAAGTAACCAAAGGAAGTAACCAAAGGAAGTAACCAAAGGAAGTAACCAAAGGAAGTAACCAAAGGAAGTAACCAAAAGAAGTAACCAAAGGAAGCAACCAAAGGAACTAACCACAAGAATCACAGGAAATGTATGTCTCCCCCCAACAGTGGCTTCCCTCAACTATATAGTTGTGAGAACTCATGTTGTGGGGGAAAGCACGTATTTGAAAAAACACAGAACACACGTTTGGGGGAATTTGGTACCTTAAAGCAGTTGCAGTTTGAGGGGCTCTCAAAATAACTTGCCGGCTTTGCTGCAAAAGACATTGTTTTTTTTTTTTCAGTTGTTGTTCCTTTTGGTTTCCCCACAAACCGAGCAACACGGGTTCCCAAACAGAGACATCCAGTCACGGTTGGGCGATTCAAACCCTTGGACCATGTCCAAAACCGCTATCGTTAAAACAACCTCCCTTTGTTTGCTCTTGTGATTGGACACCTCCCAATTTTGCTCGCACGAAACGGTCAAACGCAGCGAGCAAAATGAAGGAACGGCTTTGCCCAATGGTTACATCCTCTGCGTGAAGTCCAAATTTGGCACATCCGCTAACAAAGAGATGAGAGCGACCATCGGCCCGTGAAATTGGCAAGGCATTTTAAGGGGTTCTCAAAATTATGTCTTAAACTACATAGAGGATGATTTTGAGGATGTTCCTTCCAGTTCCGTTACTCCCCAAATGAACGGCATGAACCCTACAAAACGACGAGGATTCCGGGGCCTTGTGTTGGCAAGGTGTCACAAGGCCTAGGCCAAAGAGAAGAAACCACCTGGAAAGGCTGAAAATGCATTGGTGGCATCCGCTAAGGTATCAAATGGCGAGGAGATAAGCGAAATTCAAATGACGCAAGCGCAAGGAATAGGAAAGAATGAAAGATCAATTTTGCTGGTACCCTACTCAAAGTAAATCAAGTTGCTCCGGGAAAAGCGAGGGAACAAAAGGGGAGATTTTCTGGTCCGCCGCTCAAAATAAATCAAAATGATCAAAATGCGGGGAAAATGTCCAAACATGAGCTCACTGAATCTGGATTGTGTCTTTTTGACTTGGTGGAGGTGTTCCGGGGGGGGTGTCCCATCCTTACAAGATGCAGGGGGTCAAATCCCCACCAATCCAAACTTCGCATCCAACGGCCAGAGGGGGCAGGCGGACAAGCCACCGCTTGCCGGAGCAGGAGGAGCACTGGGTCCGGGCCGGACCGGTACAGGTCTCGCAGGAGCCGTGACAGCCTTCGCTCCGCTCCTGGAAGATACCAAAAAAGAAACACAAGGGATGCCCTCCATTTGCGTAAATCCCTGGAGACAAAAATATACGATTGAGTTCCGTTAAAACCAAAAGGGAAAGATATAGCAAATCTAAAGCAAATGGAAGGATGGGAAAGTCAGTGGTGGCAAAAGACTTGGCTTGGGCCATCCAAATCTCTACACTTGGCGGGGTTCTACTGAGTTTCCACTTCTGCAAACCAATAGAAGCCATTCTAAAGGGAAGGTGCGGGGATGAAGAGGGAACAATCGCCCATTATTCTCTCAGAGTCACTAGACCAGGCCCAAAAGACCAGTCCCAAAAGTGAAACCACAATTTACAACTATCCAAAAGATACGCCACAGTTCCTCCACTGCACGTTTCCTAGCTGTAGCAAGTTTGTGATGCAGCGTCAAGGACCATGTCGCCTCCACTTGAACCACTCCGCGGCCAAACCCGATTTCTGATTGCAAAATCCGAATCCGACTGTGCGGTTTTCACAACCACTCTAACCTTGGAACAAGGGTAATATACCATTGCCGCCCGGGTCCCAGTTGTGGGGGCTGGCAGTGAAAAACCTCTTAGCAACATGTTAGGCCAACCCCTTGTTTGCGGGTGTTTCAACCACCTTTGCTCAAACAGGACGACTACCAAACACGCGTCCAAACAGGTCCTCGCCCTTGCCGTAGCAGCCCTTGAGGTGGTACCGCACATCTCTGCCTCCCTCACACGGCTCCGCGCGGCCGGTGCCCTCGAAGCCCGCAGACGTGTCGCACTGCACCGACACCTGGCGAATGGGGCCCGTTTTGGTATTAGTGCTCCCTTCAAAAAGGCGCCACACGACGGCACAAGACGACACCAGGGTCCAAATGCGGGCATTTCTTTTTGACAACCCCCAAAAGCCCCCCCCCCTCCGTTGAGCTTGACACACATTCCCACACTCCAAGGTACAATGATTGAAACATGCGAGTGTCCATTGAACGATGGTTGCCCGGCAAACTTCATGCTGCACTGCACATGCTGGTTTTGGTGATGGACGGCTCCCAAGCGCCGTACGTGAACTGGTTAAAACTCGAGGCATTTGCCCCGGAAGAGATAAAAGTTACTAAGGACTGTTTTGTGACCACCTTCTTTGGGGAATCAAACTTTTCAGGGTGGTCTGCAAAATCGTCTCGTGGCTTGACATGGGACGCCCTTGAAAGACGAGTTTTTGCTTGCGGAAGGCCGGTCGCCCATCCTCAACAAATTTCTTCAACCCTGGCCAGGGCACCAAGTCCCACCTCAATCGAGTGTCAAACATAGGCTCCAATGGTCGGCAAAACGGCTCCATCAAAAACATCCCCCCAAAAAATATCTCCTCTCCCCCCCCCCAAAAAAAAAACACCAGCGTAGACCCCAGATAGCGACAAACAGGCGGAGGTTTGCGCACCAGTACCTCTAACAGCACCCCCGGACGCCCGCACTCCTCCAACAGCACCCAAAGCTGCATGCCCCCAAGCACCCTGCCATCAATCTTGCAAAAACGCCACACCCCAAAACAGACCTGCACCAGCACCCCAAACTGCACCAAGCAGCACCCCCAAACAGCACCCCCCCTGCACCCACACCGTCACCAGCACTCCCAAAACAGCACCTACACCAGCACCCCAAACTGCATGCCCAAAGCACCCGGTCAATCTTGCAAAAAATGTGCCTCACCTGCACCACAAACAGCTCCCCAAACAGCACACCCTAACAATTTCTGCACTACCAACTGCAACCCCCCTAGCACCCAGCCGTCAATCTCGCAAATCACTTTCCCCTCTTTATTAGAAGTTAGAACCCCTATAGCCTTCAGCTATCTGGGGAATGAAAAATAATAAAGAAAAGAAAGAAACAACGGCTGCTTCCCTGTTTCACGGCCCAACTCTCCACACCCCACACCCCGCGGCTCGCCTCAAAGATGTTCCGCTCCAGCGCCACCTCGGTGACCTTGAACCCTTCGCTCGTCAGAGGTGCCATGCAGACCTAGCGCACGGTCGTTTGTCTCAATGTGCCAAATGGGAAAATTGGGATTTCTCCTCTGGTTTTGTGGATGGAATTCAGCAAGTTCCCTTCTTGTCCCTCCCTATCTCCTGGAGATTGTAATGGAATTCCTGGTAGCTTTGCATATACCCAGTTGTTCATGAATCCGCCGTGTTTTCTGCGCAAATGCCCACCACCGGAACGCCCAGCTTTCTTTGAGATGGAATAATGCTCGGTGCGGCACGTGGATTGCCAATCCTGCAGGATAGCATGATTCAGCAGTGCATCGGGATGAGTGAGCAGTGAAACTACACGCCCACATGGCCTAAATCGCCTTGAACACTGGAATGGCATGACTGTTCAGGTCGTTGGACAACTTCACCAACCCTCATGTCCAGACTCAAGGGCAGGTGTCAAGGACAGAGAGTCGCAGAGCGCGCGAAAAACCGGGCGTCATGTCAGGCTTGTAGAAGGTTTGGTTTTGGATACCAAGGAATCTGGCAATATAATATAGCCATGGGGATGACCCCACTCTGGCATCACGGAGGGGTTACCTACCCCCCCGCATATTAACATGGAACCTAAAAGCTGGGGTGGCATGGTTGGCTTGGTGTCCCTTTCGTCGACGTGTGGTAAGGGTGCGCTTCCATTCAAACCCCAACCAAAAGTGTTCAAACCGGAAACATTCCCAATTTTGGAACACTCCCAACTGCTCTCAACGTCCAATGTGGACGCCCAACAATGCCTGGCGCTTACTCTCAAACTGGGTATGTGCCGAAATGTCCCCGAACATGGGCTTCAGTTTTTCCTTTGGTTCCACTTTTCAACCAACGATCCACTCAATCTATTGAATCTGTTGCGTAAACAAATGACTTCTGGTCCCTGCCATCTTGTCTCGTCGACATCCCTTTTTCCAGACAAATTTGGCTGCCGGAGAGATGTGCTGATGTCTGCTGGAGCCTTTTCTCGTCTTTTTGGGAACGTCGATCGCCTGGTCCGCGGGCATGCGGACCCAGAGCTCCGTCTGCTGCACCGCGTCGTTCGGCCCCGGGAAGCCGCCCTTCCAGGGCCGGAAGGCGCCCACCGCGTAGTACCTGCGGAGCTCCAAAGAACTGGCTGGTGCGATGGGAAATGAGAAATGGAATGAACCCAGGCTTTGGTCTTAAAGGAAACCAAAAGAGATGGCTTATAGGGGTCATTCCCTCATTCCCTTCTGAGCACCAGCAAGACGACTGGGGCGCAAATTCCGAAAATGTGGGTATCTGTTCGGAGCAACAAGCATGGACACAAACACGAAATCTGTGCAAGCACCAACTTTTCGGCCAATGCTGGGACAAACAAAAATGAACACAAACCCTCCCATTGTGCTTTTCTTTCTTTAGGGGGGATGGGGGGGGAGGGGAGGGAGCGGGTTTTGAAGATTGGATGTATATTTGTAAATTAAACAAAAGAGAGGGTGTGTTCCAAACATTGCGTTGGTTGTTTCCCAGCATTGGGTGGTGCGTTTGCAGAGAAGGGTGGTTGCTTCCAAACATGAATGTCTGTGTGTGCGCACCTGCCAAGTAGTTCTAGGGCCACCCACCTGAAGCAAAACGCCTCCCCCTTTTTCTTTTTGCGGGACATACCCATGTTTGGAAACAACCATGGTGCAGAAATCCGAAGGCAATCCCTGTATTTTCCACCCAGCTCTTACTTGGCCGGCGGCTAGAAGCCGAATTTGATGAATTGGATATGAAATTTCAGGGAGTTCCCGTAAAGCGAGATGTCCTGTTTTTCTCACGCCTCCAAAAAAGAAGCAACCAGGGGGCCTTCTTCATCAGCTGGGTTCCTCCCTCATGGTTTAAGGCCTCACCACTGAGGACTTGGACTTACTTGGAACCCTCTACAATGCGAACTCTTGGCTGCTCCACTCCAAAAACCGGAGCTTCCATGACTCCTTAAACGTGGAGGGGATACTATTCGTGATAATGACCCCATGTGGTCAGAAGGAGACTCCAAAGAGCCGACCCAGTTGCCACCCCCGGTTTTTTTCCGCGTGCCGATGAAAAGTCAGCCACAGGTCCAAAGGCTTCTTTCCAAGTGGCCAATATCGCTCGTCCAAGTCCACGGATCCATCCAGCAGCGCCTTGCCCTTGCCTGAAAACACCGCGACTTTTCTGAAACACACCGATCGACTAATTATCCAGAGCAAAAATGGTCTAACTGCCCTCTTGAAACCATGTAGGTTTGAACCCCTCTATTTGGGTGCTGAAAATAGGGGAACCCATCCAAAATAGTTAGTGGGCAAGCCCATGTGACTGATATTGACATTCACACCCATTTCCAGGGGATTGCAACCAATCAAAGGACACTTCCACCTCTGTGATTCTTTATCACTGGAATTCCCCTTAGGTTGCAATTTACTGGTCTCCGAAAGCTGCCACTTTTGGAGGTAAGGAAATGGAGCTGCCAAGCGGTGCCAAGCGGTGCCAAGCTGCCGTGTCGAAGGCCGCCCCAGCCATTGCCCGTGTAGGGCACATCTATGGCTTCCTAATCCGGTCGCGTCATTTTGCCGCGCCAAAACGCGCCCTACGGGAAATCGTTCACCAGAAACCAAAACCCCTCGAGGCTTGGGGAAATCGTCTGATGTTGATAACCCCACCGTCGAAGGAAAGGGAATAACTCTGTCTGTGATACTGAAGTGGGCCATAGTGACTTTGTCGCTTCAAAGGGTTTCGTTTGGGATGGCCATATGTGAAGCCCAAGTGTCCAAATGGTCATGGTTGGTACAAACAAACTGACACCCCCCATCTCCGGAAGAGGCAGCCGAGAGCAAAGGAGAGAAATTGCGAGAGACGAATGGGCATTCTTCCAACTAAGCAAACAAAGTACGCCCGGAGAATGAAATCGCTTTTGCACGGTTTGGGCTGTCACCTTGGCAGATGCGCCCTGGATCCCAAAAGGGGCCCCGAAATCGCGGCCAACCGCAAACCCAGGTAAGTCGGCTGCTAACCAATTAGCTAACTACAAAACCATGCAAAATACCTCCGGCGATAAGTTGGTGAAAAGTAATGTGACACAGGCTGAATTTGGTGAGAATCCCTGATATAAACCCGTAGTTTATGGATTAGTCCGGCCATGGCAAAAACAGGAGCACCCCTTTTTGGTTGGCTGTAATGCAAGACCTGTCTGCCTCACCCCCTCTCACCCCCTAAACAAAACGGGTAGCACACCATTGGCCTTTGAATCTGGGCGATTTGCCATTCCCCAAGTACAGGACTCGCATGGAATCGCTCGTTCCACCCGTCAGCTTGACTGCCAAGCTTCGTAGCCTGTCACCTCTCCGTCCCCGGTCACCGGGTTGGAGGTCTGCTTCCTTGGCGTGAGAGTTGAGCCCAGCATCGGGATTGGGCCAACCCAATAGTAAACCAACACGATTGAAACGCGTTGCGCAAACAACCTCCTTGTGGCTTCCCGTTTTTTGGGGCAAGGGCTGGTTGGAAACACACATTTTGGCCCGACCCTGACTTACATACCCCACATGAACACATACCCCACCTATAACCCGTATGCCACAAGGATGGGGTATGACCCTGGATGGCCCAAGCTAAACCCAGTATAGCTGCTGTTGGGTATGTCCCTTTTGGAATACCTATCGATAGGTTCGCCCCCCCCCCCCTCTATATATGTCGGACGGAAATGGTCCAAACCAGGGACCTCCCATAGGGAACTTGTTGCGAGTAGGCTGAGGGTGGAAACACAAAGAGGGCCAAAAGGAAAAACAACTAACATGTCAGAGGCCAACAGTTGATGGCCAATGACAATGGCAAACTACCCTGGTTCAAAAGTGTTCCAAAAAGACCCATGGGAACAGGAAAGGTCGCCCTGGCCAAAGTGTTCCAAGGGGTCCAGGTCACCCCAATGTTCAGCGGACCCCATCCAAAAGCAAAGACTTCCATGTGCGATGTCGGTACCATTGAAAATACCCTCTTTCCAACAATCGAAGATGACAGAGAACGGCTTGAAGATGATGATAGTCTTTCAAAACCCTCCTGTGCTTCCAAATAAAAGCGGGTCACATATTTAGGACTCGTGACCATCTCCCTTAAAACGGAACCGGAAAACTACCAAGTCCGCCCAAAACAATTCATCAAATAGAACCAAGATGTGACCCCAATCATTGCTGTGATAGTGGACCCTTCCAAACATAGCCGCCCTCGCCATTTTCCGCAAACAATGCTTTAGAAAGTGAACAATACGTGGATCCCTGAAGCATGACCCAAAGCAGGTTCACCTCATCCACATTTAGTGAGGTCCGAAAGTGGCATCCTCAAATGTACCCTCCGACTAGTGGTGTAGAGGGAAACGGACTCCAAAAGTTGAAAGGTTGTTCCCTCATAATTCAGCCACGTTCAGGGACCCAGAATCAACATGCCCCAATGTCAACCTGGAGTTATAAATGGCATATCTTTTTCCGGGGACACCCCCAAAATGGTGGTTTTCCGCGTGGTTTCCCTTCAAAACAACAAAACAGGGATACCCTCAAAACAAGACACACCCTGTCTGGCAACCGTTTTTGCTTTTGGCGGGCGGCCAGATCTGGTCCTTGAGCCCACTCTTGGGCCAACTCAGCTTGAAGGTGAAGGCCCCGTTCTGCCTGAAACCCTCCAGCTCGTCGAGCATCGCGAAGTTCCGCGCTTTGGGGTTGCGGGGGTTCCTGGGCAAAGATCCGCGCACTGAAAACCCGCATCTCTGAATTGTCCCGAGAGCCCTTCCGCTCCACTTGGCCAGAAACTCGATTGCAAGTGGCAAATTTGACGCAAATCAGAAATGAAGTAAACCCTAAAGGCGAAAAAGGGCCAAGAGGGCCAACAAGTGAGTTGAGTCTGGCAATGTTGTCTCCCTTCCTCAGTAGATCGGCCAGAAAAAGTCTGAACATGTTGTTTGTTTACCCAAAAGTATATAGTCCAAAAGTGAAGGAACTCGAGGAGTGAGTTGTCAGTTGGAAACCCTAAGCAGCTACATGTTGCAAGAGTTTTACCTCGGAAAAGGGCACACGGGTTTCTCCAGGAAATAGGAAAATTGGGGGCAGGACTCCTCCCCATGCTCAACCCATGTCCTACTCCAACCAACAATCCACTGCATGTTTGCTGGTTGCTCATACGTGTACGAATGCTAGTGAAATTGCAAACACTTTGACTGATGGACATCACTTGCGGATTATTGTCCATGCGCATCGACACTTGTTCCCAGGTTTATATAAATGGGTTCGAATTTGACAATCGACACAGTACCCATCGTAGGCTTGATGCCAATTTATGCTCAAAATGGCTTGTTGGACTCGTTTTCAGGAGGGCTCCTGAGCTGGCCCTCCATCACGAGAGGGCTGGGGCGAGCTGGCGAGTTGAGGGAACATTCCCAGGAACTGCAGGAAGGAACAATGGGGACAATAGGAATGGCAGCTTGGTCCAAATTCAACCCCAAGCCCAATCAAAATGATGTTTGTTAAAAGCAAAGACATATGATGTTCCCAAACAACGACCCAAGTAGGGGCAATGTGGATTGTCATCTTCGCAATCCGCAAGACGATATGAGTCGAAAGTGTCCTTTGCCTCCACAAGTAGAGCAGAATAGCTCCCACCGTGATCGGAGGGTATTTATCAGGGGTCCGACTAGATTTGCATTGGATGGCTTCAAGCCCCATCTTTTGGTTGTCAATTTGGTGGGGATGGTTTACACAAACATATGGCCTCTTCTTTGGTGCCTGAGGCCCCCGCAAAGTCATGGGGTTGGAATGCGTGGAATTAGTAGGCTGGCCCTGACCCTCAATGGAGAACGGCTTGTCTCTGACACTCCTCATTCCCACAATCCTCCCTCAGTTACCACAACTCTACAACTCTGTGCCAATTTCAATTGAGTAGTTCTTTCCTGGGTTGATATAAAGTCTAAAGGGGACATACAAGATGGTGTGCCCTTAGTAAGCGACTTCTGGCCGCATATAGGTTGTATTGTGGCGGACAAATTTCTGGACCAGTTACCAGTTGGTAGTTGGTGTATCCCAGTGTTCATAGGGGCTTCATTCATCCCAATTGGCGCGACTCAAGGAGTTTGGCATTTTCAGTTTAGCACACGGACTTTGTAAGGGAAAATGCCTGGAGAGGCCAAATCCTGGAATTTTACATGGGACAAAAAGGGGGACAGCGGCGTAGTCCAAATGACTGATTCCCACATTCAACAGGGGGAAGGAGGGGGTGGCAGGGTTGCTCAGCAGGCAGGGGACAGCTCCCTATGACAAAAGGAGGGGGTGGCCCAACCCTGATGTTCCGCGCAACTTGGGCTAGAAATCTGGGGTACACCAACAATCATGTTTGTTCAGATTCTGGTTCTTATTTAGTCAACCCGAAAACATAAAATCATATTGGAGGAGACCCCAGGCAGCAGGGGACGGAGCCAGGGTGCTTTCTCCACTCTTCATCCTCGAAAGTTTTGGGGAACGTCTGGCGCAGGAACAGCTTCCACTCGTAGACCTGTGCAAGTCCATTTGTTTCCCTGAAACACATATGGTCAAAAGGTGAGATATTTTTCTGGAAAACTGCCCCTCAAGGCAGTTTAGTCCAAAAGCAAGGGCTGATGCAAAATCGGTGCATCACACATTCAGAGGGTTGACAAAATTATCACCTTCGGGAGGGCATGTTGTTTGTTGTAAAAAAAAATAAAAATAAAAAAATAAAAATGTGCAAATTCTGCATGACACGATTTAGACTCTGGTCCATACTTAGTGCATCGAACATTGTCAAACATGATGTCGGCAAGTTCGGCTTTATTTGCGAAGTTCCTGGCCATTCTGCGTGGAAGGATTCTCTGCAAGCCCCAGGAATAGCTGCAATCGGTCATCTCAGAGTTCCAGGCATACCGTTGAGAACTACCACTATAGTCAATATAGGTTTGTCTAGGGCAGGCCCGAAATGGGCTTCGTCCCTGCGCAACCCTGAATTGCTCACACCCATACTTTTGCAAACTCCAAAAGTCCCAAACCTGAAATACGAATCGGATCCCGAAGTGAAGCACCTACATCATGGGGCACGCGGTGAGCTCGCCACCATGTCCCCAACCAGAACTCCTGGTAGCTCTTTCGCTCCCCCTTTCAAGGGACATTTGGATCCCACCAGCTCCTTGGTTCCCTTCCACTCGTTTCCATTCGTGCCCACATGGGTGTTTGTGTGCGTGCTGTTTTGAGGCTCGGTCCTGCTCTTACATCTGGGTTTAACGGCAACCGAAAAAATGGAAAACCACAATTTGGGACCTGGGAGCTCCAAGTTCCCACTCTTAACACAAACCCATACCTCCCATTGGCCTTCTCCACCTCCCGCTTTAGCTCGCAGGTGGCGTAGATGTCGAAGCCCCGGCTCACCTCCCAGTCTTTGCAAATCGGCTCCTCGGAAGGCCGGCCGAGTGCTGTGGACACTTGAAACTCCGTTCTCGGACCCAAAAGAACGAGACCCCAACTGGCTGCTTGGACACCGTCGACTTGATAATTTGCTTATTGACTTTGTGGTAAAATGGTCATCCCCATCCCCTGAAAGCCAGCCATCTCTGGGCCAAATGTGCCCAAAAAGAGCGCGCAAACCCCTTCGGGACACCTGGTCCGTACATTTCCGCTTTACATATCACCCTGCCAAACTCAAACCAAGATTAGCAACCAACCAGTGGCCCGAAAGCATCGCAGCCCCGTGACCATTCTGCGCAAGTTGCTCTGGGCAAGGTGCTTTGCGCAATCTGGTCTGTGCAAGTTGCTCTGCGCAAGTTGCTCTGCGCAAGTTGCTCTGTGCAAGTTGCTCCGTGCAAGTTGCTCCGTGCAAGTTGCTCTGCACAAGTTGCTCTGCGCAAGTTGCTGTGTGCAAGCTGCTCTGCGCAAGTTGCTCTGCACAAGTTGCTCTGCGCAAGTTGCTTTGCGCAAGCTGCTCTGTGCAAAGTTGCTCTGCGCAAGTTGCTCTGTCAAAGTTGCTCTGCGCAAATTGCTCTGTGCAAGCTGCTCTGTGCAAATGTCTCTGTACAAGCTGCTCTGTGCAAGTTGGTCTCCGCAAGTTGCTCTGCGCAAGTTGCTCTGTCAAAGTTGCTCTGCGCAAATTGCTCTGTGCAACTCACTCTGTGCAAATGTCTCTGTACAAGCTGCTCTGTGCAAGTTGGTCTCCGCAAGTTGCTCTGCGCAAGTTGCTCCGCGCAAGTTGCTCCGTGCAAGTTGCTCCGTGCAAAGTTGCTCTGCGCAAGTTGCTCTGCGCAAGTTGCTCTGTCAAAGTTGCTCTGCGCAAATTGCTCTGTGCAAGCTGCTCTGTGCAAGTTGCACTGTGCAAGTTGCTCTGCGGAAGTTGCTGTGTGCAAGAAGCTCTGTGCAACTGACTCTGTGCAAATGTCTCTGTACAAGCTGCTCTGTGCAAGTTGCTCTGCGCAAGTTGCTCTGCGCAAGTTGCTCTGTGCAAGTTGCTCCGTGCAAGTTGCTCCGTGCAAGTTGCTCTGCACAAGTTGCTCTGCGCAAGTTGCTGTGTGCAAGCTGCTCGGTGCAAGTTGCTCTGCACAAGTTGCTCTGCGCAAGTTGCTTTGTGCAAGCTGCTCTGTGCAAGGCTGCTCTGCGCAAGTTGCTCTGCGCAAGTTGCTCTGTCAAAGTTGCTCTGCGCAAATTGATCTGTGCAAGCTGCTCTGTGCAAGTTGCTCTGCGCAAGTTGCTGTGTGCAAGTTGCTCTGTGCAAGAAGCTCTGCGCAACTGACTCTGTGCAAATGTCTCTGTACAAGCTGCTCTGTGCAAGTTGGTCTCCGCAAGTTGCTCTGCGCAAGTTGCTCCGCGCAAGTTGCTCCGTGCAAGCCCTTCAAGTTGCTCTGTGCAAATTGCTCCGTGCAAGTTGCTCCCTGCAAGTTGCTCTGTGCAAGCTGCTCTGTGCAAGTTGCTCTGTGCAAGTTGCTCTGCGTAAGTTGCTCTGCGCAAGTTGGTCTAGGCAAGGCGCTCTGTGCAAACTGGTCGGTGCAAGTTGGTCTGCGCAGGTTGCTCTGCGCAAGTTGCTCTGTGCAACTTGCTCTGCGCAAGTTGCTCTGCGCAAATTGCTTTATGCAAGTTGCATCTTGCGACGCCCGCCCGCAGACCAGGGAGGAATCGAACCCGCGACCCACCGGTCCCGGGAGCAGGCGCGCGAACCACGAGACAACTCCCGAGGACCAGTTCGAACAACAAAATCGCAAAAAACCTCGAGTTTTTGCACCTCATCCCGCAGAGAACCGCAAAAATCGTAAAAAAAACCTCGAGTTTTTGCACCTCGGCCACGCCCATCTTTGGAGAGGGTCGCGCGAGCACCGCAGAAATCGCAAAAAACCTTGAGTTTTTGTACCTCGACCACGCCGATCCCCGCAGAGGGTCGCGCGAGCCCAAACAAAATCACAAAAAACCTCGAGTTTTTGCACCTCGACCACGCCGATCCCCGCACAGGGTCGCGCCGCGCGAGCACCGCAGAAATCGCAAAAAACCTCGAGTTTTTGCACCTCGACCACGCCGATCCCCGCAGAGGGTCGCGCGAGCCCACCCAAAATCGCAAAAAACCTCGAGTTTTTGCACCTCGACCACCCCGATCCCCGCAGAGGGTCGATTCTCGTGCAGTGTCGTCGGCACTACCCCGCCGCCCTAAAAAGAGATTTTAACTCCTCGCAAGTCAATTGCACTTGACTCCTTGCACTGGCAACTTGCACTTGGCTCCTTGCACTTGCAACTTGCACTTGACTCCATGCACTTGCAACTTGCACTTGACTCCATGCACTTGGCTCCTTGCAACTTGCAATGACTCTCATGACTCCTTGCAATGACTCCTTGCAATGACTCCTTGCAATGACTCCTTGCAATGAATGACTCCTTGCAATGACTCCTTGCAATGACTCCTTGCAATGACTCCTTGCAATGACTCCTTGCAATGACTCCTTGCAATGACTCCTTGCAATGACTCCTTGCAATGACTCCTTGCAATGACTCCTTGCAATGACTCCTTGCAATGACTCCTTGCAATGACTCCTTGCAATGACTCCTTGCAATCCTTGCAATGACTCCTTGCAATGACTCCTTGCAATGACTCCTTGCAATGACTCCTTGCAATGACTCCTTGCAATGACTCCTTGCAATGACTCCTTGCAATGACTCCTTGCAATGACTCCTTGCAATGACTCCTTGCAATGACTCCTTGCAATGACTCCTTGCAATGACTCCTTGCAATGACTCCTTGCAATGACTCCTTGCAATGACTCCTTGCAATGACTCCTTGCAATGACTCCTTGCAATGACTCCTTGCAATGACTCCTTGCAATGACTCCTTGCAATGACTCCTTGCAATGACTCCTTGCAATGACTCCTTGCAATGACTCCTTGCAATGACTCCTTGCAATGACTCCTTGCAATGACTCCTTGCAATGACTCCTTGCAATGACTCCTTGCAATGACTCCTTGCAATGACTCCTTGCAATGACTCCTTGCAATGACTCCTTGCAATGACTCCTTGCAATGACTTTCATGATGATGATTCCTTGCAATGACACCTTGTAATGACTCTCATGAGAACAACTCAAGTGAACCCAGCGGAAGAACCCTTCGCCATGCTTCGGGAATAGAAGACGCCTGAGAACCAACATGAGACCAACCATCAAGAGGAACCCCCCCGAGTTTTCAAGCCCAGCCAAATTGATCCACGAACGTCCTTCCACCTTTTGGTGCAAAACAATCCAAACGCCGGGTGGCACGGCTCAATTTGGCTGAGTTCAGTCCAGTCGTCCGGTCACATAGGTACCACCATATGGGTGTCTCTAACATTTGAGCCCCCCCCACAAAAAAAAAACAAAAAAACAAATATATATATATATATATAATGTTTCGGGGTTGCTTGAAAACGCCCCCCCAAAAAGGGAAACCACTCCACAAACCACACCCATATTTGATAGAAGTCTTGACAGCTGTTTACACCCCTAAAGGGTTCATGACCATTCCTACCAAGCCCAAGCATGTCTTTTGATCATGGCATACGTGCCAGGGGTTGGTACGGCTTGGCAGCCCAGGCACGGTCTTGGCGCCGCAAATGCAACTCTTGTCGCTGGCCTTGAAGGCGAAGAACCGACTTTCCTGAATTGGCAGGTGGCGATTGTCTTGGCCCAAGTCTGAGGTGCACCAACAAATAATTGTCAGACTTTGGTCCATATTTAGCCTACCCAATTTACTCTGCTGCAGATTGATGTGGAGCCCAAAAGCCTCATGCGTACAGGGAATATTGCCCAGTCGTACTGTAAGATATTGTAAATCAATTTTGAGGATGTGTCGCAGCCTGGAGCCTGCAACACGCGCCCAAGCTTGTGGCCACAATGCATTTGACGTGACTGGACTACTAGGTGACCTTCCGCCAAGGTTCCGGGCAGTCTTGGAGGACTCTCTCCAAGCACTGGGTCGGATCACGAATGCCCGGCGAGCCTTTCACGTGCGCCTGGGCAGCGGCACACCCACGTTTCGACAAGGAGCGCGAATCAATGAGAAAAGAAAGACAGAAGGAAGGAAGGAAGGAAGGAAGGAAGGAAGGAAGGAAGGAAGGAAGGAAGGAAGGAAGGAAGGAAGGAAGGAAGGAAGGAAGGAAGGAACTAAGGCACTAAGGCACTAAGGCACTAAGGCACTAAGGCACTAAGGCACTAAGGCACTAAGGGACTAAGGGACTAAGGGAAGGGAAGGGAAGGGAAGGAAAGGAAAGAGAGCAAGGAAAGAGAGCAAGGAAAGAGAGCAAGAAAGAAAGCAAGACAGACAGACAGACAGACAAAAAAAGAAAAGAGCGAAACACAAAGAGAGTGACAGTAAAGACAAGAACATAATGGGAGCAGAATAGGAAGGAAAAAAGAACATAACAGAAAAGGAAAGAACAGAGCACAAAAGCAAAACAATGAAAGGAAAGGAAAGGAAAGGAAAGGAAAGGAATGGATGAAAGAAAGAAAGAAAGAAAGAAGGAAAGACAACGTAGGGACAGGTAGAGTAGAAGGAGAGGAAGAGGTAAAGGGAGAGGGGGAGGGTGCAGAGAGGGGGGGGATAATAGTTTTCGCTTGAGGGCCCCCTGATTGATACGAAAACCAAAAGCAAACTAAAGGAAACCAAAAAAAAACCTTATTCCCCTGCTGGCAAACAACGCCAACCACCCAAAAGAAGACGTCCCAAACGAGGGTGTTAAATCACTGGCCACTATGTTCTGTTGGGTTTTTGTGGTTTGGGGGGGACTGAACGCGATCCAAAAGGGCGGTCAAGTTTGACACATCACAAAAAACCTGCCTCGCTTGCTCATCTCCAGGCAAGAAGAGGCGGTCATCTCAAGGAACCGACATGGAGGGGTCCCGAATTTTGAGAGGAACTTTTGATTGCTGTGCATGTTCGGAGTTGCTACCCTGTTTGCCTGTTGTTTTGATTGGAAAGTTGAGAAAAACAAAAGTCTTGTTTTGGAGGGGGTCCCGACTTTGAGAGGAACCCACAATCGGTGGCAAAGAAAAACTGACAAAGTGGTTGTGAGGCATGGCTTCCAGTCGATTCCACCGGGCGGGAACGCGTGGTGAACATTTGCAAAGGCGGCTTGAGAAAATGCAAGTCCTTCAATGCCGATAGCTAACTTAGGCACACGGCCGAAATGCTGTTCGCAAAAACAACACAGGAAAGGCCGGGCCAAACTGAAGCACGATCAGCCGACGCTCACGGCTAGCCCTGCGAGCCTTGGCCTGACAGACCTTGTCCCTGGTGTGGACAGAAGGGCAGGCCTCCGCACGATGTTGAACGAGCCATTGCTTCTCAAGGAACCAATTGTGATTGGATGTGGTTTGCCTTTCGGTTTCCTGTGGGTTTCCTTTCGAATGTGGAAAATGAGTTGCCCTTTCCTTGATACCGATGTGTGGCTGCTTCTCATGACTACCATTTCAAAGGCGAAACCCTCGACAACCCACCCAGAAAGCAGCTGTAAATCCGAATTTCCGCATCAGCCAATTCCTCAGGTGGTTTGTTTCTTTACAGCTTCATTTTGCTGCGCAAGGCGGCGTCAAAGTCCGGATCTCTCGCAATTGGCTTTCTTAAGGGGAGAGAAGCAGCGACTGAATTCCACTTTGAGACCACATGCACACGTTGGGTTCATGATCGGGAAAAAGAAACGGCAGACAGCATGGACGGCTTTTGAAACTAAGCACATCCTCACTGAAAGTTTATTTCTCAAAAGAGACAGCGGAATCGAGCTGGAGGCTTGCTAGTCGAGGGATCGCCTCGGGTGATTAATGCCCAAACCACATGGGCAACCCACCCGGTGAAACAGAAACATGTTGTACTCACATCATCTAGCCCAATTAAAAAAAGCCAGCTGCAAGCTACAGCTGAAGGGAACCCCTGCACTTTACAATGGCACACGATCCGCTGAACATGTTCATGGAGGGTGAGGTGGAACTCGCTGGTTTTGTGGCAAAAAGGGCCCGCTCCTTTCGCCCAATTGGACCTGTGATCTGTCAACCCGTCAGGCCGAAAGTCTTATGACGCAAACACCCCACCGCAGACGCACGCCAAAATAGACAAAAGTGGGATCGATCTGGTGTTTGGGTGGTGGAAGGCAGTATGGTTGTGCTAAAATTGTGTGCATCTGGTGTCCGCTTTGAGCTGACACCAAACGGAGATTGTTTCAACAGGAGCTTACACATGCAATTGGCCCGAGCGTCCTTGCACATCTCGTACACGTTGGAGTTCTGATCCTGCATCCAAGAGCCATCGCGCATCGGCCCAGCATCCGAAACGCAGACCTTACCCCCTTCTCCAACTACCCCGGTAATGGCATTTCCAATGCATTCTGTCTCGTTTTTCACGGGTTGACGGTAGGGGATATGAAAGCGCGACAGTATGAGCACAAGAGACCGTTGATGACGGATACCCGTGCCCCAATCTGGAAAATCGATCTGCGATCGAGAATCTTTGAAATAAGAACACGATGACCCAGCAATTTTGTCCGTTGCTCATCGCGGTCAACCGCACCGGGAATGCATGAATTGGGGTCCCCCAGTACGAGGGTGTTGTGATTATGCGGCTGGGTTATAACATTTGAGACGGTCTAGAGAATCCACATAGAAGTGATCCTTAGACGGGCTCTGAACATCGCTCGACTGGGGGCTACCATATCTAATGGAACCTGAAGGGCGGCCCCTGATTTTTCGGACCCGGACCACAAATGTTGTGACTATTCTCTGCATAAACTGAGTAACTGAGGCTTGGAGGGTGCCATTTCCATTTTTGGAGCCGCAGTTCCCGGTCCTCCACTGTGGTCTTGCAGTTGTTGCGCGTGCAGCGGCATATGCTCTGCGCTGCATTGAAGTCGAAGCGGATGTCGCCTGAACCGTTGTTTCAGAAGACCCGTAAAGAATACAAGGTCCAAAGGATACATTGGGCCATTGGAAAACTCATCACCGGCTGTTGTTGTTCGAGGATGCCCTCGCAAAGCAGGTGATCTCCCAAGAGGCAAACCCAGAACCTGAAAGAAGGTGCGTGCTAGAGGACAGCGGTCTTCCAAAAAGTGCTTCACGTATGCCGGTTGTTCAGAGATAACCAAAATATGCAAGCCCCCATCTCAGTGCGGTGGGAGGCAGTAGGACACCAGACTGTCCAAATCGTATAGGTGCTCTGGTTGAAATCTAGAGAGTCCCCCATGTCCCTGTTTTTAAAGACCGAACAATTATCTAATAAGGACCCATACACTGGGCCAGGCTTAGACCCTACACAAAGTTCACCTGCTTGCTGGTATTGAAAGGGAAAATGAAGCGAGGACCAAAAACACGCACAAAGTCAGAAAAAGCAAGCTTTTCCGGGAAATGCATATTCAAAATGCAGCGGCGCGGCCATCGCACTGATCTCGCACGGCAGCCCAGCAGGCTGCCAAGTCCTCGAGCTGTTGGAGCCAGTGACAGTGGCGCTTTTACAGGGTACGCCCAGAACCATCCCTACATGTGGCTTATGGGGTCTGTTCATCTTGCTGGTTGTCAGGAAGGAATGAGTTGGAATGATCCATACGAACCAGCCCTTGTGGCCTTCTTTAAGGTATCCCAAACAGTTCATTCCCAAAGCACCCTCTGAGAATCAGCAAGATTCGCAGGGATGTGTACGTTTGAAGTACTTCTTATCTCCATGACACGTACCCTTGGCAACGATTCCACAGCCCAAATTCATGGCACCACAGATATATTTAGCTGACACAACACTCCAGCGGGGGATACTTGGGGTACGTACAGTAAACTGGGCATGCGGTGAAGCTTCTAGATGTTTGTTGCTCCGGCTATGGTGCGAATGAAAGTCCACATGTCTACACTGCTCGTGCCAACTCAGCTTGTCAAGTAGCTGCAAAACTCCTGGGAACCTAGAATTACAGTACACCCCTTGTTGATTCAAGTGGTTCTCTGGGAATCCCCTCGCTTTTGGAAACAACCCTCCAAACAGATTGATAAAGTTGATTTATCCGTCAGCAAGCCTCATGCCCAGTGCTCGACCAGCAGCTCAGCCGAGCTGAGCCGAGCTGCGTGAAATAGGTTTGGTTGTTGTTGTTTTTTGTTGTTTTTTTCTCGGGGCCTTCTCAGCATAGGTCCCATGCCCTCACAATGTATCAAGAATCATTGTCATATACAACATGAGCCACAGGCCAATGAGCAGACATCGGGAAATGAATGAGTCCGCGTGTTGTTGTTTTCTGCCTCGGGATCATTTAGTGAGTCAGTGCCCTCTGAGACCCCTCAAAACACCAACCCAAAAAGGAAGCCAAATGCCCACGTTGCTTAGCGAAGGCACGGCAAGGCGCTGCAGTCCAGCTAGGCTCTGTGTCCGGGTCTGGCTGATCCCCTCGTTTCGTGGTTGGAATTGGGGTTGTCCGCCTTCACATCGTCTACTGTCATGGACAAAACGTGCCACAAGTTCTATGGACACGATTTCCCATGGATTTGGGCGGTTTTCCGGAATGAATCAACAGCTAAGGAAGTTTTGCCTAGATAAATGACGAAGAATCCCGAAATAATTTGCTTCACAATCAAGTACACAGTCCAACTGCGGCGAAATCGATACATGGGTATGGCTCAAAATTAAGAACCAGACCGTAAATGAATGAGGTTGTTCTTTGCTCTACAAACTGGAGTAGCCCAAAGTGAGTTCCTTGTGGCCTGTGACGTGGCGTGAATCCTAAAGGAGTCATAGTCAAAGTGGTCTGCCCAAAGACATGTAAAGAATTAGAAGGGGGGCCTCTATTTGTGGCCTGGACTGCAACTAACCTTTATCTGCCCAAGTTTTGTCGCTCAATGCGGGTCCTGGATGCCTGGCGAGCCTGTCACGTGTTGGCCGCCTCAGAGCCGAAATCCGCCGAATCCGACTCGTTGAGCTCGACGAGTCCCCCCAGAAATGTTGGGGCACACATGGCAAGGGTTGGGTTCCCTGGCCATGCCATAGTGCCCAAACTGAAAATAAGGGAACCTCGAGAGGACCGTCATGGGTGAGCTGGTATTTCTCTGGGTGAGTTCGTGAAAATTATGCAGGTGGGACCCAGGATTTCATCGGCTGTTTCCCCTAAGAGTCAAGGTGTCCCTCTAAACTTTCTACACCCCAATTTAGTCAACCAGGCGGAGTTTTACCATGATCAAATCAGAAACCACCATGGAGTAACAAGGAAAAGTTTGGGATAACCATTTGTGTGTGTGAATTGTTTTGAGGGTACCTGTTTTGGGGTTGCTCGGGAATTCAACGGAAAGCCGCCCATTTTGGAGGTTCCCCCATTTTCAGAAATACCCATTTGGTCAAAGAACCCCTCGGTCCGCGCCTTCGCACGCCTTCCCTCGTTCCTTCACGTCGTCGCAGCCCTGCGAGTCACGGCGCTAGTCCCGATGTCGCGAGAGGGCGATCTAGAACTTCCGCCAAGCGAAAAAAACCTTTCCGGCCTGAAGAAACTCACTCACACTTCAGAATCTAGCAGCCCGGAAACAAGTCTGTGCCCCGAAACTTAAATCTCTGCGTCTAAGCCTTCTTGAAAGCAGGGCAGCCAACTGATACTTCAAGGGGGTATCGCAACCCAGCCCCTGATGTTCAATTGGTGTCGAAGGGTACCCTTCGAAGGAAAAAAAAAAGGATATTCCGTAGCCAAATCTATTCCACGGCCAAATCTAAAGAACAGTAAACCAATACTCGGCAACACCAACCAATTCTAGACCAATACTAGATCAATACTTAGCCAATTCAAATACTTAACCAATGCGCAGCCAAAATCGAAGAGGACCGAAGAGGACCGAAGGGAACCGAAGAGAACAAATACAAACCAATACAAAACAATACTAAACAGTTCTAATCAGTTCTAATCAGTTCTACAAGTACACATTCACCAGTCAATACTAAACCTGTACTCAATGCGAACAATACCAACTCAAAGACTACTCTAAGGGTTTTTACGGCTGTCTCAGTTGGGGGGCACAAATTGCTTCAGAGGCCCACTCACTTTCAAGGGGTTTGTGCAGAAAATAGACTTGTTCACAGAGTGATGCTGATGCGCCTTGAAGCCGTAGAAACCAGCTTTCAGGAGACCAGCACTGCTGTAGTTGTCCTCTGCCTGCACTTTGACCAGCTTCCCTACCTCGGCGAGGGCCGTTGGAGGGCACAAAGCCTCCCCCCTTTCACTGAGGATATGACCCACGGACAATTGTCTTGGTTCCCCAGAGGACAAAACAGAAAGTTGCTAAGTTGGCTTGTCCCTGTGGGCCCCACGCTATTGTGGGGCATTATCTTGCTTACTGACAAACAAATGACCGTTGCTCATGCTGCTTTTAAACTCATGGTCTGCAACAGGAACCTAAAATAAAACCAAAACGGTTGCGGTGGCAAAACCGCAACTCAGCTCCTCATTCGAGACACATGCACTCCGTTCTCGCTAGCCTGAAGCACCTCCCAAAGCGGGAGGTGTCCAGAAACTGGGAGGGGGAGGTGGAACTTTTGCTCGCGGTGAGCTTATGAAAGGTACTGTACTTGGATCCATGCTCCTGGAAATCATAGATTTTCTCGGCTGGTGCATGATTTGCCATTTTCCAAAAGAACCCATAGAAGTGGATCAGAAGGATGTGGACCGGGACCCTGGCGGGACGGAAGACAAAACCGAGAGGTGAAAACGCCAACTCCTGTCTAAAGAAAGAAACTAAAGGCCGCGAGCCTAGAAAAGTTCCGAAGACACCTTCTTGGCAGGGGTTCTTAGCTCTTCACTTGCTGGTTCTCGAGGCAATCCCTATGAACCATCCCTTGCTCCCTGTAAGTCTTCTGGGCCATTTCAAAACGGCATTTCCACAAAGCGGTCTCCTTGCCAAGCCGACTTTCGCTCCGCCGGACCCTTCCATGCGGAAAAACCACTGGCACCCCCCGAACAATCTGGTTCCAAAAACAAATTGGTTCGGCTTCCACTCTGAGTTTACCCAACCCGACCTGAGATGCTCTCCACCCCAGACCGCTTCCCAAGTGAAATGGGGCATATCACCATAACGAGTTGCATCCAGCTCCTCGACAAAGCCGAGGCTGTTCTCAGCTTCGCCAGTGTGCAACCAGTTGGCGCTTGCTGTCGCCAGGCAAATCCTCGGGGTTTCCGCGCGCCCGGCAGATCTGCAATGTTTGCCACAATCCGGTGGCCTCAAGGCGTCTGCTGCAAACCATGTGGCCATCAACGTCAAAAGCGAACGGTCTTGAAACATATATATATATATATATATGTCCAACATCAATGACTATGTAGATGTTGCCCGCCAAAGAGTCCCCAATTTAAACTCAGCACCGCGGCAAGGGAATCACCGAAAGAAGATGCCTGGGAAGGACACCCACCCTCCAATTTCGGCCCGTACTTGTTTCGCTTTTCAGGACTTCGGAAATGTCGTGGATTCAAGGCGCTAAAACACTCCAAACATGGCATGCGCAAGACACATCTGTGGTTGCCATTTGCTTCCCGAAATTGGGGCCTCGCCTCCTCGGCGACAAGAACATCTTCTCATGGAATTCAGCCCCCCCCCCCTCCCCCCCCCCCCCGCGCAGCGCTCCTCAGCCCACACGTTGTGTGTCCCCTGAAACTGGGAGGCGGGATTGTGATCCTCAAATCGTTCTTTGCTCCCAGCTGTTCGCTCGCCATGAATGGGGCAGGCCCGTAAGGCCTGACGGCTGCATGCAAACAAAACTGGGTCGGAAAAGAAGGTGGTACTCAAAGCCACCTCCATGGGTTCATTTGAGCAGCACCCCCCGTAACATTTGGAAAAATAGCCAAGAAGGTTTACGATGGCCAGTGGGGGCTCGCTTGCCCATCGCCGGTTAGGAAAATCACAGAAGTGGGCCGGCCAGTTCCAGTTCAGCTTCCAGTGTCTTGGGAACATTGCTTTTGGAGAAACCAGCAAATGATTGGAGCCAAACTGAACTCATGTCACTCCCTGACGAAAAAAGAAGGTACTTGCCACGAAAAAACAGTTGTGGCAAATATATCTCTTTCAAAATGGACTGTGTTCGGAGTGGGTCTATTTTCGACCAAACAAATCGTAAAGACCACCCATGGCCCCTCAAGCATGCCAAGCTGCGTAGCCAGGAGGCCTTGCGGGCTTCAGTGAGGGAACGGATGGGGTGAACAACCCTACATGGGTGGTTACCCCTTGCCCTTTGTTTGCTTTTGCAACAACCCTAGCCTCAAAAAGAAGACCAATGGAAATAAACGAGGAGCCGCCTAAACCAAGGGCCCTCCTACAATAAATCCAACTTCTTTTGAATGCTGGCATGGGATCTCCAAATATGGAGCCATCAAAGGGAACGGGGGCTTTCTCTAACAGGCGTGTATACTGAAAATGCATGCCAATATGCTGCCTTATACGGCTCTATACTTCGGGATCGCATCCCAGCAAGTGTCACCTGGGCGTTTGATCCATCTTTCGTTTGGCCTTTTTGGATGTTCACTCCTTGTGTGGGAACCCTCCCCGGGAGCCCTAGAAAACGTTGGAGCATTTTAACCTGAAATCACCAACCAGCAAACGGACTCTCCAAACGGTGATATGCATCGGCCGTCCAAAAAGGGTGATGCTTGCAACCACCCGCAAACCCGCAAACGGGAAAATAGAGTCGAAGCTACGGCAAAGGACGGATCTCCAGTCAGCTGAACTGAGCTTGGTGGACGTTTCGGCAGGTTAACAACTCGATCAAAGCTAGCATGGCTCCAGCATGACACATGGCATGGGCTTGTTGCAACACAAGGGGCCCCCAGAATTGATGTCCTTTCGGCTTCCCTCAAAACCAAGAAACGGATCTCCCACCCCCCTCCTCCCCCCACCAAAAAAGAAGAACAACTGGCATGGACATTGCTTAAACTGATGTTCATTACGTAAATGTATATCATATGTCTGGCCAAAATATACACAATTAACCGATCGAAAAGAAGTGCCCCTAAAAAAGAACCTTCACTTTGGGTGACGTCTCACCCCCTAGCAACTTCAATATAACTCGCTATGATTTGCTCAGATAAGTGCCGCGTCAAAAGCTGCGCCCATTGTGGCCATAGTCATGGTTCCCTCAACAGGACCCTTTACATTGTCTAAAACCCCTGTTGAAGGGTTGATGGACTGTCCCTATCCCAAGTAAAGGAGTCCTTTCACCAAAGCAAACATTATATGCAGTTGCCCGAGGGAGGATTCAGGGAGGATAACAAAGCACACCCCACTCATCAAGTAATCGAATAAAGGACACGGGGGGGCTGGAAACCTCACCAACTTACCGCGTCACTCGGTCAATGCTGGTAGTGTCGGATATGTTGGGTGATCCTAATTGGCTCTACTGAATAGTTTCTAGGATGCTGCACACATAATTGTCACTTGGCGCAAGCTGGAACCTGTTTATTAGAGCCTGTTTGGGGTTCTCGAAAAATAAGAATCTCACGGATTTACGTCTTGTGCAACAAAATGGACATGGACTGGTTGTGGGAATTGCCCGCTTCTATGATACCGCTTGTAGACCTTCCCAATAACTAATCCTTTACTTGAAGGGGATCCCTGGCATCACCGAAGTGAGAAACATCCCCTTGTTCCCACAATCCTGAAAACTTGTCAATATGGTTTTCCACCTCCAATGGCCTTCCTAATCGTCCCTGCGATTCCTGATGGCTCACAATGTTGCAGGCATTCGCAGCAAAGACCCGCCTCGTGTCATACTGCATTGCATGGAAGGCATCGTGCAGAATAAAGTGCCTTGGGCCGGAAAAATCATCTTGAGCTACAACTTGGCAGCCACGTGGCTCTGCACAACCAACCTCTCCGTTTAGCCCCGCATTGGTGAGCCGGCTATGACTTGTCCAGACGTATATGTGATCGCCTTTCCAATCGGCAGCATCAGGCGCAACTGAGGCAGGCGCTACTTATGGACGCAAGGCGGTCGCAAAGCAAATGACCTTTGCTGCAAGGCTTCAGATGCCATCCGCTAGCAACATGCTTGAAGTGACTGCTTCTTGCCACTACGTACTATAAGGAGTGGGCCATGATCCCAGTTAGTATTCTTTAGCAGTACTTGAAAGCCGGATTGGGCCAACCCCCTCTTTAAACATGTTTAAACAACTATTGCTTCAACAATCTCCATTATGCTCCCCAGTAAAGAGGGTCCGGGTCTGGCTGTTTCAGCAAATTTTGCCCAACCTGCACGACCCGCACCAAGCCCTTTTCAGGCCCTTTTCAAAGCGCTCCTTGAATCTGTTCGGAGGCAGACTCAACCAGTCCTTACGTCAAATGAATCGAACCTCTCAAGAGGACCGGACATATTTCTCGCATCTTGAAAGCACATCCATGCGCTGACTTCCGCCAAGGTCGCAATCGTCAAGCTTGTGACCACCGCCGCTGTTCAATCATCAGACCTTCGCGCATATCGCCGGCGAGGCGATCTGAAAACGGCTGACAACAGAACATGACGAGCTCACTTCCTGAGTGGATTGGCCAAAGTCCGAAATGTGTACTTGCCACCACAATGGTCTTCCCAAGAAGCACATCAAGTCCAGAAACTCAGGGAGTGAGGCAAAATGTTGGGCTGAAGGGAATCATCTTCCAGCACCTGAACTTTGTTTTGGATGAGCTCGGCCACGAGGACCTGCTTCTGAATTTATGCTGGGGGGATGGGATTGCGAGGTACGATTGTTCCAAATATTCATGGGAGAGTCACGTCTGTGTGCTGCTTCAACCCTTCTAAATGGTGATTTGAAGGGAAAGAAGCGCGACCCAAAGTAAATTGGAGAAGCCTTCAACATGTAGCTGCTTTAAGGGACCCAGACAGGGGCCGATTTCGTGCATGGCGCTCAGTCAATTTGGCTAAAATGGGTGCTCAGTCAATTTCGTGCATGGTCCTATATGTAGGTGTTGAGAAGCATGTCTAAATAGGTTGGTCCTTAGGAGCCATGTCCCAATGGCAGACGTTGAATGGTTTGACGTGAAACACCGCGGCAGAAGGTGGTCCTTTTGCCGTACACTTTCTTGGCTGACAAGTTTGGCATACCTTGAAAATAAAACCATTACCCTTTTTGGCCTAGAAAGGACAACACTGGTGTGGGAAGAAACAACCAACTCATTGCTTAAGTGTTTGAGGGTAAAGAAAGGGTCCCAATTTCGCAACCAGTGTGCCCATGGGTTGGGGGCATGTTCAGGGCTCCTGGCAGAATGCCCTAAACTTTGCAAGTAGGGAACAAGGAATCCCTGCAAATTACCGCAATATACCAGGGTGTTGTGGTTGGATGTGGTTTTGGCAATATTTGGGACATCCGCCGTATATTCGGATAACTCGTCCTTTGGCAAGGCACATCGTGTGGTTCCTCGGGAGCATGACCTCCCAGCTTGAGCCCAATGCGGTCCCACGGTTCGGTCCATGCGAAGCACTGGTTTTACAGCCAACAAAAGGATGCAGGCCTCGGCGGCAAATGCGGGGCATCGGATCTTGTCCATCTCAAGGAAACCCTCTGCAGGGTGTTCTTTATAGGATGCATGCCAGGTCCGCCTGCTTTACAAGCGGATCATCAAAAGAGGCAGGACATTTTTCGGGGTGTGACAGTGAGAAGTTATGCACATGGCCAAATTCGGCTCCCATTCGTTCGGAATTCTTCAGCAAGTCTTGCGTTCTCGGATCGCAGAGAGATAAGCTCTTTGCGCGGGGGTCCTGGTGCTGCTTCAGGAATTCCTGCCGCCGGCACGTCGGAAGTCGCAGGAAAATTGTAAACGAACAAGTTTACGAAAAATTGCCCAGGAGGACAACCCCCCGGTTTTTGTGGTTCTTTGGGTGGGCCCTGTGTGTCCTCCCCAAACTAAGAATAAACTAACAATAGTATTGTCACGTATTTACATGGGTGTGCGCTTTTTGAAGGAAGCCAAAGGGAAATCACACAGGAAGGGGTTGCCCTGCTTGAAGACAGTTCCTTACCTGGATTTGTCCAACTGACCCCCTGCCCCCGCCCTTTTGTCAAATCCCCATGCCAGTGGGTGGCAGGGAAACCACATAGAAGCGTGTGAACACCAAGGCAGGAAAGAAGCCAAACGGGAAGAATCTGGCGATGCGACGTCACGCATCGCTCACATTCCGAATGGCCCGTACTCCCCCTAGCCTCCCAGGCTGGTTGCATGCAGTTGGTTTACTTGCAATACCCAGCCACCCCGAGGCAAGCTTCTGAAAATCAAAAGGCCGCAAACCAGCTTGGATCCAATCTGGTCAAGAAAAGGATAGCCCAAAGCACCGTAATCTTGAGTTAATTCGCTCGCTTTGCCCGTGGATCGGTGAGCTCGCGAACGACTTTGCCTTTGGTAACAGAGAGTGGCTCCAAAAAAAAGTACTTCGCCACAAACGTGCTGCTGACAAAGAGATAGCGCTGGTCAATGATCAAAGTCAGACTTGAACCGCCCCCTCTATTTTCGACTGAACTGACAGCTCAAAGGACACCACTGACTGCTTGGATCCAGCTGCCTTGTTTTGCACCTCCCGCTCACGCTGATGTCTGCGCCTGGCGCAAGGCAGCGAAAAAGCTCCCCATTGCAAGCTGCCAACATCCTAAGATTTTGCCATGGGCACGAAGACTCCCCTGCAAATTGCCCTAAAAGAAGATTCGTCCAAAACGAATGGCGTTGAACCTCCAGCAGCCAGCTGCAAATGCGCCAGCTACGCTCGCGCGCGTCATCCTTCTCCTGAAGGCTCTCTCCATGGCCCAGCAAGACTCATGAAATTCAGCGACCTCAAATTTGGGCTACCCAAGAATGGCTGACCAACAGAAATACGGCCCCCTTACTTTTGGCAATACATAAACCAAGCATATTGAGCACACGAGCAGTCTTTCTTCCAGGTCAGGCTGACGAATAACTGCAAAGTTCAAAATGGCTTTTGAACAAGGGCTGTGGTGGCTATCACAATGTTCAACAGGCTACAAGCAATATCCCTCTGCTTTTTTGCGGTGGTCTTGGAAGCCGCTTTGGAGACGTCTGGTCCAACCCTAGCTAGGGTCTACTCGATCACCAGTTCAGTGGACTCCACCTCCAAACAAATGCTTGGTGGGACAACACCACCTCATTGGTTAAGTTAAGCATGTTTAAACATCTATTGTCTTTAAACAACCTCATTTGGGGTTTGCTTTCAGTGACCAGGGCTGGTGATTTGAACGTGTTTGCCCAACCCTGATCAACAGGATTCACCTTGGTCATTATCCAAATATGAGGACAGCCACCATGTTCAAGGTGTGTCCACGTACTTGACATATAGTCAGGGCTCTCGGATTGGCACTACAATCAGAGATAGTACTCAAGATCCCCTGCAGGTTGAATCCGAGCCCCGCGCCCGCAAGTCCCGGACCGTCTGCTCCAGCGCAACCTACACACCCGAGGCCACCGCGCAGCTGGCGCTGGAAGTACAAAGTCAAGGGGAATACAAACAAAGACAAACAAAGACAAACAAAGACAAACACATACACACTTATGTGTATATACATATATAATCATATATATATATATACATACATGTGTACACAAATGCAAAGCCCCCCGCAAAACCTACTACGTATGGCACGGAAAATGTCATGGTTGGGTTGGACTGAGCGACGGTGTCTGGGAAATGGCGCATTCATTTCGCTCTACCACAACACAGTTTGACCTGGACTGGCTTGCCTCGTTCGAGATTGGAACAACGTTCGAGATTGGAACAACAGAGTGCTTGCATCTAGCGCTAGCTCCGCAATATGGGGGTGTGTGTTTCTCAGGAAACCAAAAGGACGCCTATTCTAGAACATGGACAAAGCATACGACCACACAGGCAAGTGCTGGACACTAATTTGCCCGGGGAAAAAAAGGTGTCCTTCCCAGCCGGGACAGTCGGTTGACCGCATAGGTTGCCCTGCTTTCTTGGTGCGGGTCATTTTGAAGGTACTACGGTACTCTTTTTGGAGGTTGCCCTGTTTCGAGGCAAACCTCGTGGCCGTGATGGCTCCTTTAATAGCCCTTACATTGTCTAGACTCCGAGGTTGACGACCAGCTCCCGAGTGAAGGGTGTTTTGATGGCAAGAGCTCGCTCGGTTCCGGGACCCAAAGTGCAAAAGCCGCCTTCTCCTGCAAGAGCTGAGTGATGCCTCGGATTCAGATCTGAACCGATTCGTCTTCGAAACCGCAACCCAGAAATGCGGAAATTGCTGGGATTGGCATGGTTTCTACTGGCAGTACTGTTGATGGACAAAATCCATCACCACCTAGGATGGATGAAACCAACTGTTGCGGGATTGTGTCCAGCGACAGTAGTTAAAATATCTGGCTTCCTTGCAATATTTGATGGGCGCCCTTGCGTCGCACAAGGCAATCCCTTTCACCCATAGGCGCCAAGGCCCCCCCTGTTCCCCCACCCACCTGCGCCACGACATAGTTGTGGAACTCACCCAACCCAAATCAACTGCTTCCGCAAGCAGTGGTTCGGTGACTTTGTGAAAACGGGCTAGACAAAAAAGAAAAGACTCTGCCGCCAGAAGCCAAAGCCTCTCTGCGATTCTTCCCCACCCGGATATCACCTTTCTAAGATCGGAAAAGCATCTGGATTTGGGGGGCAAGGGGCTCAAAACTCGCAGAATTCCCAACCCAAACGTGTCACTTGCCCACTTCATGGGCGTTTGGTTCTGTCATCGCTCTTGTCCGCTGAGACCTGGAACAGCGGTCCTTCCATGGCACCTTTAAACGTCA